TTTTTTTTTTTTTTTTTACCTCATGTACTTTACTGGTTTATTATATTTATCATATGAATTAATACTTTACATTTATGAAAACTGTTAAAACTAGAAACATTTGTCTCAAAATCTGAAACCCAAAAATGTCTAATCTCTCCAACTATTCCAAAATATCTTGGGAAGATTAAATGAAACACTAGGCAGAAAAAACAATGTATCCGTTTGAGAGAAAAGCCCTGATTGGGTGATTTAAACTCTTATTAATTCTGGATAATCAAGAGAAACAGAAATCGTGATTAATTCAATTAATTGCACAGCTCTGCTCACTTGCAGTGTTGACAGATTTGCTGGTTTATAATGTGAGCGATGTAGCTTTATTCTTTCTGTATCTCATGTTACATTACTATTCATTTCAAGACTCGTAAAACAACTTCAGAATCAGAACGCTTTTCAAATAGAAAAAAGCGTCGCCAGATTTAAGTTCATGGTCTCAGTTCCTGTCCCGGTTGTCTTTGTGTAATTCCCACGCACCGTCTTCCAGTCCCGTCGTCCCAAAGACTTTATTCCGATCTCTCTGTAGTTCTCCGTCTCTCTCCTCTGATGTTCGGGTCACACTCCAGTCTCCACACACATTTGTTTCCTCTTGTCTGTTTTCAATGGGAAGTTGACTTGTTCATCCAGTCTCCAGCCCCTGGCAGATTGAACCGCTGCTTTTATTCTCTCATTCATTCACTGCCAATTTCCCCTCCCTTCGCTGGCACTGTGTTTGAAGCATACAGACCTATTTTTGATTTGGGGTGGTGTGCCTTTGCTATGCTCCGGCTAATACTCTGTCATGGCGTTGTGATTGTTTTCAATCTTAACAGCGGAAACAAGCCTCTCTTGATATTGATCACCATTGACTTCATCTTAACCAGAGATGCCTAAGTGAATGCTTTCAGAACATTAATGGCCCAGATGCCTGGCGTTCAGTCCTCTCAATGCTGTAGGGAACTGAAACGTACCACAGTAATTTCTCCTCCGGTATGGCACTAGCTGATTTTAACTGTGCCTCTGAATTATTAGCACTTACCCTCGTTCTCTTTGTCTCTTTCAGCCTCCAGGCCCCATGGACCAGGTGGGGAAAATTCGAGGGCAGCACTATGGTGGTGGAAACCCCTACTCTCAGCAGCAAGGGCCTCCTCCTGGCTCCCAACAGGGTCCTCCTTACCCAGGACAGGGTTACGGGCCCTCGGGACCCCAGAGGTATCCTATGGGCATGCAGGGCCGCACTCCCGGAAGCATGAGCGGAATGCAGTACGGACAGCAGGTCAGATGTTCATGTTGTGGGGATTTTGGGTTGTTTTCTTTTGTTTGGATGGCCGATGCTGAGAGCACTTTAGAGAGCAGGGTGGCTAATGGCCAATGCAGTCGATATACACCACCATTCAAAAGTTTGGGATCTGCTGCATTTATTGGATTAGAAATACACAAAACACCGTAATATGGTGAAATATTATTAAAATGAATAAAATAATGGTTTTCTATTTTAATATGCTTTAAAATATAGTTTATTCCTGTGATGCAAAGCTGAATTTATCAGCCATTACTCCAGTCTTCAGTGTGACATGATCCTTCATTATCAATATGCTTATTTTATTATTAATGTGGAAACCGTTGTAATGCATAATACTGCGTTTTTTGTTTTTTTCAGGATTAAGAACATAATTTATTCAAAATAGAAATTGAATGAAAAGTTAACAATTTTGTAACTTTGTAACAAAGTATATATTTATATTTTATTTAAATGTATTTTAAATTGTAATAATATTTCACAATATATTAGGGTGGCTAATGGCCAATGCAGTCGATATACACCACCATTCAAAAGTTTGGGATCTGCTGCATTTATTGGATTAGAAATACACAAAACACCGTAATATGGTGAAATATTATTAAAATGAATAAAATAATGGTTTTCTATTTTAATATGCTTTAAAATAGTTTATTCCTGTGATGCAAAGCTGAATTTATCAGCCATTACTCCAGTCTTCAGTGTGACATGATCCTTCATTATCAATATGCTTATTTTATTATTAATGTGGAAACCGTTGTAATGCATAATACTGCGGGTTTTTTTTTTTTCAGGATTTTTGGAATAAAAAGTTAAAAAGAACATAATTTATTCAAAATAGAAATTGAATGAAAAGTTAACAATTTTGTAACTTTGTAACAAAGTATATATTTATATTTTATTTAAATTTATTTTAAATTGTAATAATATTTCACAATATAACTGTTTCTTCGGTGTTTTTATCAAATAAATGCAGCCTTTATGAGCAGAAGAAACCACTTGGAATACCTTTACAGTTCTATGTATGAGATATGACTCTAGTTTTACTCAAATCAAACGCTAAAATGCTTATGAAGTGACTCTCAGAGCAGTTCTGGAGATGTTGTTCATGTGTTTACGACCTCATTTAGTTACACGGCAGACGCTGAATCACCACGAGTGTAACGCGCGCTTCAGTGTGCGTGTGTGTGTAGTAAATGAAACCGCGCGTCTGCGCCATTCATAAACAGAGACGGGCAGAACATGCAGGATTCATATTTAAATCGACTTGAAAAATGTTAAAAATCTTACTGGTCCCAAACTTTTGAAAGGCAGTGTATATGTTATCACAATATTTAATTTAAAGATAGTAAAAACACATGCATAACAATTGCTGAAATTAAATCTATATATTTTATTATTCACCTTTGCTCAATGGGTTGTTAAAGAGACGCTTTCCATCACTCTTCTGCAGCACTTGTTTCTGGTGCATTAAAACATCACATTCATTCAAAATTTGACAAATTCCGTGACATTCTGCGTTAAACTGTGAATTCTGTTTTTATGACTGGATAAAGACTACACTACGTAATTTTCCCGCTTATCATGCGGCCACTTGCTTGATGTGAACACAAAATATCTTACATACCACCATTTGTGAACGAGCCAGTGTAATGCAAATGTATCTGAAAGGTCTGTGCGAGGATATCGTCACGTTCTCGCGAGACCAGTCAGATCTCGCGAGACACATCGAATCTATTAATAATAGAGACAACACTTTAAAGGGGCAGGTAAACCAAAAATGAAAATTCTGCCATCATATGGAGAAAGAGAAAAAAAAAACTACTATGGAAGTCAATAAGGGCCAGAAGCTGTTTGGTTACCTACATTCTTCAAAATGGTAGAGAAACATTTTTGAGACTATTTTAGCTCCATACTGTAGAATTGGGGTCCAGTCATTCTGTTCGTTTACATAGCGGGCAGACCTTTTCCTCTGCTGCCAGATTTTTGTTTTTCACAGTCTCAGCTTGAACCTGAAGGCTTCTGACGGTCTTAAGACATTCTTGATCATAGCAGCATGAGCTCCTGGGTCTTTTCATCTGTGCTTTCAAAGAAGGTGGTTATGAGGTCACGGCGAGGCTCAGGTTTGTCACATGGGGATTTCCTCACACGTCTGAAGTTTTGTACGTGGCAGTCTTCAAGTGCCTGCCTTTCTTCATCCTGTTGTCTGCGCCGGGTGCCCCATTGTGCTTGTGTCGAGTAAGCAGATGCACTGGAGTGCCATCCATTTGTAGACTGGCATAGAACATGCACTTCAGGTTATTTTTATTAAACCTCCCTGTCAGAGGCGTTTTTCTTCCCCGTTTTTATATTTCCTTTCTCCTTGAGAGGGAAAGTGCCCAGCTTGTCACCATCAGGCTTTTGTGTCACAGTACACTCTCCAGCAAGGTCAAATTTTTTTGTATGCTGACTGAAAGTAATGAAATTCAAGCGTTTCCCTGAAAGCCTGTGTGCACACTGGTCCTTCAAATGGATAAGAGCTCGGTAAAAAACACTGACCTCAGTCCGGCTGAAACCTAAAAAAATGTCTCTTTGCTGCTATTGTGAGCCTTTTCAGAGAGTGTAATATATGAACACAACATCTCACAATGCGGGTACGTTAACTCCTATTTTACGCGCTTGCTTGTCAAGTTAAATCACATGATAATAGTTGGATATTTGTTGATACCAATAAACATGAAAATATTATGACCCAGAACTGATAATGAGTGATATGATTTTTTTTTTTTGGACTTGTTTATTTTTTAATCGTAATAATAAAAAAAGAAAATTGCACCAGGGCTTATTATTATATATTTTCAGTGAATGCTTGAAATAGCCGTTTTCAGTAGTTTTTTTGTTTGTAGTGACTCTCTTGTAGTGCTGTATTGCTGGTTGCAGACTGGCCCTGCATAGAAACACAGTACACCTCTTACACTCATCTGTTTCAGGTTTATTTATGGGTTACGCTGGCTCTAAATTGAGTGTCAGTTCACCCTTTTCACTGAACGTAAACGGTGTCCTAGTGGAGAACTTTTTCCCTGTGTTGTTTTCCTCCCCGCCACCTCGTCTGCCTTCTGCTGCTATCGTCTGGCTGTCTGCCCGCATGCCCATGAGAAAAGATTGGGTGAAAAGCACTTTAATCTGAACTTTTGAAATCATGAAAACTTCTAAACAAACACTTATAAATGTAATAATAATAATATTAGTGCAGATGTTTAGAAGCTAGGGAACCTCTACTTTTAGTATGAATAATACAGCTAAACTAACTAAACACTTTTTGTAAGATTATTAGTATTTTTTTTTTAACATGCTCATTACAAATCCAGAGAAATGCTGTCATTTAACTTTGTACTGTAAAAATAAAGGTGAGATTAACTTATATTGTCAGTAATATTTCAGCTCTTACTGAACCTAGGCAACTTTTCCCCCCTTAGCTCTATATTCTTACTATATTATATTAATATGAGCCATAAAAGCCTGATTTATCAAATATGACACTCAACACACATGCAAATGTTCAATTAAAATAAAACGCATATAAACTTGCATTTTATATGTATTTATATTTATTATATTTATATACAAAGTATTTAACAGTCCCAAATGGCAAAATTACTGTTGTAATCATGAAAGTCAGCATTAGATGAAAATTCACCCTAACTATTTTGTAGATGCATGTTATAAACATTGTGAATGGTTCATCCGTGCACACGTTACTTTTTTCGTTTAACCTGTTAACCCGCACCTGGACGCCGGCACTCTTTGTTTGCACGTGTCAATGTTTACAAATAGATTAAATGAAACGGGACAAAATTAATCTTGACAAACTATATATCATTATAAAGGTCTAAGCCTCAAGCATTGACGATAGAGCGCTGTTTTTCAATGGAAAGCTTATAAAGAATGTATTTGCTAAATTTGTGTAAGCAGTACACATCGAAACATGCATAATCAAAACGCAGTACGTACCAGATTCGTCGTAATAACCAGTCATAAACGCATCCACGGCTCTAAATCCCGGTTTAGTTAGAAAGGTAAGGGTCCACTGAACAACATCCCATAGAGCACTTTTAGTCCAACGAAGCAATAACGTTGTAATATGGATGGTTATTCCTTTGTTTACGTCTGATTTCTTCTGGTAGAGTTATTGTTTGTATCCGTTATGGAATAACTTGCGCTCAACAGCGACTAGACATAGTCTCAAGAAAAATGGTTGCAGGGATCTCATTTTTCATGGTATCTTCTTCAGATTTGAAATAGAAACTCATGAGACATGTGACTTTCAACCCATTACTTTTCTGGATTGCTCCAGGGCTGATTTCATGTGTTTTTATATGAAGAAAAAAAAATTCAGTGTAGTACAATTTTTTCAAGGCACTTCAGTGTCTATAACTTTTTATCTTTTTGAGCATTATCAACTCTAGATGATGGATAGTAAAGCCCAAAGGGTCTTCTTTCCAAAGACACCACAATTGTGTGTAGAGCACACTGTTGTCAGGAACTGTTACCATTTGAAGTTAGGTAGGTCATTTTCAGCTGTGAGTCCCAAAATGGGGGGGTGCAGGTTAACAGGTAAAAAAAAAAAATTAAATCAGTGTCGTTACTCAATCTTCCAGTAAAATGACAGACTTCTCTCTGGTGACGTACAGTGCTTCTCCAGTATTTTAGTGTCCTTAAACTCTTCTCCTTCCCAATCGACAGCAAGCTGGTATTCACTTTTGAGCGCAACGCCCACATCTCAAAATACAATCTTCTCAGATGTACGCACAATATGGAAGAAAAGATCTGTCGCTATTTCTTTTTCATCGTAACATTAAATGGCTGTGTGACAGGACTGAGATAATCCGATCCGAGCAGTTTCAATAACCAGCTCTGGTTTGCATGCATGGGAATTAGCATGCATGATCAGGAATTAAAGTATTTACCGACAATTACAGATAGTTCACAATGTCTCTAGTTTAAAGTTTTATGTTGTAAAATTACTGTTTGCTTGCTAACTGATGGACTATTTGGTTCCTGCTGTGCTTCCTCTGTAGATGGGCTATGGACAGCATGGCCCAGGTGGTTATGGTCAGAACCAAGGTGGCTATTATGGACAACAGGGCCCTTCACCTCATGGAGGCCCCCAGCAGTCTCCATACCCCCAGCAGCCCTCCACTGGAGCAGCCTCTCAGCCCCCTTACTCCCAGCAACCGCCTGGTCCTCCCCATGGCCAGAGTGGGCCCCCTTACGGGCAACCTCAGGGCCCCCAAGGCCCCCCTCAGGGCCAGCCTCCATACTCCCAGACTCCACAGTCACAGTCAGGACAGCCACCCTTCCCCCAGTCCCAGGGTCCCCCTCAGTCACAGGGTCCGTCTCAGGGCCAGCTGGGGTCGCAGCCCGGATACTCGCAACCACCTTCGGCTCCAGGGCAGCCTCCTCAGCAACAGGGACCCTCACAACAGCAGCAGGGCCCGCCACAATCACAGCCGCCCGGCTCGGCGCCTCCTCAGTCATCCCAGCAAGCTTCAGGACAGGGTCAGCCCTCACCTTACTCCCAAACCCCTCCACTGCAGTCTCAGCAACAGCAGCAGCAGTCGCCCTTCCAGCGCTTTCCTCCTCCACCTCAGGTAATAACACTACTCCACATACCTGAAGTTGCTTTGATGAACACTATCCTTGTTGCTCTTTCAAAAGTGCTTCTACATTTTATTGTTGCCTCATTACTCCTCAGGAGCTGTCTCAAGACTCCTTCAGCTCTCAGTCTTCAGCTCCTTCCTCCAATCAGCCCATGGTGTCCGGGAAGGGAGGTCCAGAGGAGAGCATGCAGGGACGACCTTCCAGCCTACCTGTGAGTCCCATGGGCTTCAAACCAGATTTACCTCATGCCATGCTAGCTTTCAGAGTGGTTTGAGACCAGTTCTTTTGACGAGGGGATCAGTTTTGTAGTTCTTGCAAGTGCTTTGTTTGTTCAACAGAATATCCTTAGTTGACCAATTCTGCTAGCATATGCTTTTGTGCCTTAATATGCGAAAGCTTCCCAGTCCTCACTTCTGTCTCAAATCACTGGGCGAATCTGTTAATGAGGCCTTGGGTTGTTTGTCTTTTTCTTTGGGATCGTAATCGGCTGGACAACTGTAGTCATAGACAAAGCTTTACAGAAGTGTTTCCCAACCCTGTTCCTGAAGGCGCTACACATTTTCAAACTCTTCCTAATCAAACATCAGCTGTTCACTTGAGACTCCAGGACCTGAAACGGAAAATGTGTAGGCCTACTTTTGATTTTCCTCCAAAAACAGGGTTTGGATACGCTATACAGGGATTGCAAGAGTAAAGGTTAGTTAGGATCTTGTTCTGTGGCTGTAAGGTAGTTTACATGATTACTGGCACTGAACCTTTCAGAAAGATTCATGAGTTTTGAGGCAGGTAGTAGAAACCTTTAACTATGTTCCTAATGCTGTTTGATTTACCTTGGAAGTCTGTGTTAGAGCTGGGAATGACGTCAAACACGTGGACCATGCTCCAGTAGAGAGGTCAAAAAAACGGAGATAAACAAGTCCATTGTTAGCAATAATAGTCAATTAAAAACACATAAAAAGTGGTATTTTGCACAGATAACGCCGTAGTATCATGTCCACAAATAGAGTTTGGATAGTACTGTGTGCACCACAGAGTAGGCATGGGTCGGTATGAGATTTTGACGGTATGATAATAACCTTAAGCAAAAATATCACGGTATCACTGGTATGAGACAGTGGATGGTTGGTTTGCTGCTAGAGCTACTGCTGCCCTAAAAAGATGAAAAATAAAGACTGACATCTTTTTTTAACCTACATCTGTAATTACAGTTATTTAATTTTAGTTATATAATTCAATTCATATACATATAATTTCATATCATTTAGTTATATAATTTCAAATACATAATTTGATTTAATAATAACCCAATTTGAAGCAAAAATGGAATGTTCCGACTATCTTTGTGGAATTATGCTACATGCCTGAATGAAGCAAACAGCAGAAGCTCTGAATGAGATGCAGATTCACTTTCTGACAGCAGGAGGCGCTTCTGGAACACGAGATACAGTGTTTCCTTGGTTACCGCCGTAAACAAAGCAGCACTGCTGAAACTGCTTTAATATGAATTATACAGAGACGAGATGAAAAGAAAATACCATGTAAACTTTTCTGAAGACAGTCAGTTCCCCTCAGAAACACATTCATATAAACCCCCAAATCAATATTGAGGATTTTCTTCCAATAGTTTGTGCATCATGAACAGTGAGTGATCTGCCTGCTACAGTATTTTTCTCTGTGCGTCCGTCTTCAACGTCTTTGGCCTGTGTTAACGGGTGTTTACAGACTTCATATGTTCACATAAATTACATTTTGGAAAACGATTGCATTGCAACGCAGCTTGTGCAAGTTCAGAACAGAGACAAGTTGCTTGCAATAAGACAAAAAAAGGCCAGTTGCCGATCGCGTAAGTTCCAGGGAAGCTCCTTAAGTTCGGTCGTCCTGCACACACATGTGACTATGGTGTGAGGGTGTGTTTATAGGTTAGCAGATACAAATAGCTCATTCAGAGCAACAGTGCCTCCGAAATTTCCAAATGAGCTGAGATAATTAATGAGAGAGAGAGAGGTGTCTAATAGAGAGCTGGCAAATGACTGGAGCTGGTGGGCTGGAGAAGGTAAAAGAGGGATGAGTGAGTGAGAGAACAGAGATTGTTCAGTCTCTGCCAGTGGGGGGTGCCCTCAGGATGTGATTTCCTCTTATTTCTTTATTTATTTATACATTTCGCTCTTACGTAGTCAGTGACTGAGATTGGCTGGGATTTTATTCAATCCCAGGAATCCCCACGGTTGCCTGCGGGAAAGGCAATAATGTAGCCCTCGATTGACCTCTTCTTCCACTAACATCTCCCTCATGCTCTGCTCTCACGGTAGATTAGCCCCTACTGCTAACTTTAGCCCGGCCGACACCAAAGGTAAAACACCTCCAAATCACTACCTGACCTGCGAGCGAGTTATCCAGCTGTGGAACAAAAACTGCTAGAAGCGTAATGGTACTACCATGCTGAGAAGCAATACGGGGGATATACGTACTGTTGCAGGGTTTATTTGTTTTAAGGTCTATATGCTACTCCTTGCTGCTTTGAAGTCTACAAGGATTAAGTCCTGATACAAAAATATAGTTGTTTCGCCACCTGGAATTATCCTAATGAGACTTCTGGGTCTTTTAGAGCAGGTCTTTATTTGTTTGGCTTTGAGGACTGATTTCATGAATGTTGATGTGGATTAAAGCTGCAGAGACTTTGCAGTGAGTGAATGGGGACCAGTTTGACTGGTTGAGCTGGTTTCCTGATAATCGTTGCTTCACACTACAACGAATGAACACGTCTAGCAACCGTACACTTTGTCAGCTCTCTGTGAACTGTTTGTTCTCATGCATGTTGTGTTATCTTTACTGAACGATATTTACAGCATTCCTGGCCATTTGATTCGGTTGTGGCTGCTGTAGCCAAATTTATAAAGGCAGCATTTTGTTTTGTGCATGTTATCAGTAAAACATATTTTGCGCTTTGACAAGAAGTCAAAATAAACTTCTGTTTACTTTATCAGTGTTAGGGATGTACATTTCGGTTATTTTTCCTAACCGACCACTGACACTCGTTAACCGATTGTTTAGTTGCTTCCACTGTTAGAAGGAAAAAATTCAAGTGATTGCGCCGGCGCCGCATGCGCGCACAGTTAGCCATTGCTACCTTGACAATACAGCCTGTTCATTATCATAATAAAATACAGTCAGTCAAAAATATGGGGAAAAAAAACACACGGCTCAGTTTAAATATGTAGTAAAATCTGTGCCGTTAAGCGTTATCACCGCACCGCCGTGATGTTAAACATTTTGTTTTACGTGGATATTGGAACGCGAGTGAAGTATACATAATAAATAATTTGCCATTCAAATACATAGATGAAGTACATAAATAATAATTTGCTATTCAAATACATCGCGAATATGGAAACATTTGGTTTTGTGTGGAATGAGAGAACCAACGTTGGTTTCAGTTTCGTTTTAGCCTAAATGAATTCGTTTTGGCTTGTCGTTTATATTGCTATAGCTTCTTATATTTTTAATTCTTGTTCTTTTCTAAATACTGTTAATTTGTTGTGGAGTGAGGGGAACTAAAATAGCCTAGCTATGTTTACAGTGTTTGTTATAATGTTTGTAAACATTTCGCGTCGGCATTAGGCCTATTTCTGATGAAATAATAAAATGCAACTTATAGGCTACGCGACTTATGTTTTTTTCCCCTCTAAGAAACACATTTTTTTATACGCGTAGGGTATTTTAACCATGCAGGAAATCTTTTTAAATATTTTGATAAATTACTGAAAAAAAAAAAAAATAAAAAATGTTTAAACCGTTTAACTGATTGTATTAATCGGTCAAAATTCTATACGGTCGGTTAATGGTTAACTGGTTAAAATGAACATCCCTAATCAGTGTACATTATTCCAAAGAATAAAATGGTATTTTTAAATCCTTCTTAAATGTAACTTTCAATGTCACTGAAGCCATACACGTATAATGTGCAGGAATACTGATATTACTAGTACTTTTCTAAAACCTTGTTAATGGTTTAAGCAGTACCTTGTCAGTCCAGGTTTAGAATAACCTTCAAAACACAGTTGCTAAAACACCTGTACAATACAACCAAGACCGGTGATGCAGTTAAACACATTTTACTAGAGCAATAATTGATGATAGCTGCTTGTTATCTGCTGTCTGTTACTGATGGTTGGCTCAGTTGTAGATGTTAAAGCAGGGGTTCTCAAACTTTTTGACTTGATGGGTCTCTAATGTCCAAAATATTCCAAGGCCCTTCTCCATATATTATATGGAAGATATTTCATATGTAGTTAAGACAAAGCTTCTTTTCTTTTTAAAAAAAAATTTTTTTTTTTTTTTTAATCAATAGAACTCAGTGTTGATGTATTAAATTAACCACAATTCATTTTCAAGAGGTAAAAATAGTTACTGAGGGAAAATTAATGTTTACATCTTGATTTTTTTTTTAGAGTAATTAAAGTTAGATTATTTTAATGTTTGAAAGGGATTGTTCACCCAAAAAAGAAAACTGTCATAATTTACTCACTCTAATGTTTCAAACTTTATTTTCTTTTCTTCTGTTGAACAAAAAAAAAATATATATATTTTGAAGACTGTCAGTAACCAAACAGATGCTGGTAGCCATTGACTTTCATAGTAGGAAAAAATACTGTGGAAATCAAAGGCTACCAGCAACTGTTTGGTTACCAACTTTAAAAAGTAACTTTGTGTTCAACAGAAGAAACTTTTACAGGGTTGGAACCATAGATATATATACATAGATGCCTCATTAGCGACTGTTTCTATGGGCTGCTATACGTAAGCCGTCCGCCATATTGTAACGGTCAACTTGACGTCATTCACCATAGTAATCACTGAATATTCGAAAGATGCCACAATCCTGCACAGAACGGCTCAACGGCTCTGTGAAAACCTACAGTATGGTGAATGACTTCAAGTTGACCGTTCCAAGATGGCGTGCCTAGAGCCGTCGAATGGGGCATCTATACATATCTATGGTTGGACCAACATGAGAGAGGGCTGGAGTGATCTTGTCATCTTGTGGCCCCCTTGGATGTTTGCTGAGGCCCCTGTTGGGCCCTGAAGCCCTGGTTAGGAGCCACTGTGTTAAAGGGGCATCAGTCCTTTTATTTTACCAGTACGCCACACAACCACAGTTCACTGTGCCCTATATAACCTGCTGCATTGATGCTTTTAAATGAAGTCTTACTG